GTAGGTATGGAGAGAGAAATAAAATTGATGCAGCAATTCAGAGAAGGATTTTTGGAGAATAGGGTTTATCTTAAATAAGAAAATACATATTAGGCAACTGCATTTACATAAAAAGCCAAAATACCCAATCTAGCTGTATCCCAAGTAGAAGAATAAAAGGTCATGTAGTCTACTATGCTATATGAAGTTTGACAATAAAGTATCTACTCCATTGCAACAGGAAAGAGAGGGAAAGAGCCGAAAATGAGGGTAGCCCTGAAAATATCAGTCTAACCAATTAAAAAGAGCCAGTGTGGTGTAGTAATATACTGGTGTGGTGTAGTAGCTTCTGTGAGGACAAAGAGGAGGAGGAAATACTATGTAAGCCATCTTGAGCTCCTATACAAAAGGAGAGAGATTATCCATGTCTAATTTCTGTATTTCTAAGAGCTATTCATATTTTCTGTGATTTAAGGCAACCTCCTTCAGTCTGATATTGTTAGAGTTGTCGCCCCAACATCTCTGGAAGATACTAGGTTGGGGGCCTATGGCCATATTTTGCAGATATAAAAAATACATACCTGTGGTATGAAAGAAAATGTCATACCTGTGGCATGAAAGAACCAAAAAGGATACTCTACCTTTGTCTTTTCAAATTTTTGAAAACTTGCTTACCTTGAGCTCCTGGACATAAGGTGAGATATAAATGCAACAACTAAATAAATATTAGCAAAATCTATGCTGCACATTATTAAAAGTTAGCTGGCCTGCCACAGACAGATAAAACAATTGCAGAGATTAATCCATCCACGGGACAAATACTTGTCAACTTCAGGTTAGATATTTCCTGTCTGTTACAAATCTAAAACTTTGAAGCATAGAAGATGCTTAAGATATCTTAAACATTTTTCTCCAGATGGAACTTCTTGGTTTCCTAATTGGTCAGGGAAAAAAAGGTAGATGGAAATTATTTTTTTATTAAAAAAAAAAGCAGGATTATATTTCTCAGGAAATTATATAGGCCTTAGCTCCCCAACAATTTGCCTATGAATGCACTGATGCCTCCAGACCACACATCCCTCAATTTTTAGGTTTGTGTAATTTATCTTTTATTAATGTTTGGGAGGAAAGACTTCCAATTTCAGCTTCTCTTCTCTTCTCTTCTCTTCTCTTCTCTT